GCGATTCTGACCAGAAATTTGGTTTGTCCACCTTTTGTCGGGGTTGAAAAGGGTGATTTGGCTCCATCGATGCTTATGACCAATTTCTGGTCTAATGGTCTTGGGTCCTCTGCCGTTAGACTGGATAAATAACCAGGATCAATACCTTTTACGTGTTTTCTCGCTCCGTCCGTCATGTTGAATTAGTGTTTCTTGCCGCCGACCAAAATAATTCCCAGCATGCAACGCGCGCTTTTGTCAACAATGAAACTCGCCTATTTTGTGAAACATTCCAGACAAAGCGATAACATTTCCACGCAGAAAAGCATTTGACGGACCCTCCACCAGAAAAGTTACACACTGCACCTTTATGCTCCACTTTCATATGTAAACAAATCTGTGCATTCCATTTTCAACCACCAGAGAAAAATCTGTTTGAGAATCAACCAAACCAACAAAACAGAGCAATAAATAAACAAATATTGAAGAGCCCACTGTAGTTTTTAGATCTCATCTGTTGGTCTTTGCTTCCACGATCGAGCTTCCTAAATTTTCACATGTTCCGGGGAAAAATGTTGAGAAATTTAAATGTATACATAAACCAAACCTTTATTTGTAACATCTGAACGCAGAAAAGCATTTGACAGACCCTCCACCAGAAAAGTTACACACTGCACCTTTATGCTCCACTTTCTTCTGTAAATAAATCTGTGCGTTCTATTTTCAACCACTTGACAGAGCTAAAAAATCTGTTTGAGAATTGACCAAAACAACGAAATAGAGCAAAAAATAAACTGTAGTTTTTAGATCACATCTGTTGAAAAAGAGTCTGAGCTTCCACAATCGTGTTCATTACTTTGAATTTCTACATGTTTTGAGGAAAAACGTGGAGAAAACTCATACAGTGCACAAAGCTGAGATTTGTAAATGTATACAGATACCAATTTTATATTTGTAAATATTTTTCTTACCATAGTTGAGTAGCCCTGAGTAAGTTTCAAACTTTTAGTGTACTTTTTGTGTTAATGGAAAGGTGTTCGATCACCTTTGAGCTCCAACGCCTTAAAAGTTTTCTGAACACTTGTGTAACCAACTAATTTCTCTTGGAAACAAAAATATCTGCCAAAATCGACATTCAGTTGTGCTTTGACAAACTATTCTTTGTACAAGTTATGACATTGCAAGTGCAGTTTTCTCCACTAGATGGCAGCAGACTCACACCACAAAGCTGAACTGTGAAAGCAATTATTGTAGTTCAAATAACATTGCAATGGTGTTTTTAATTGTACAACTCAATCAGATTTCACCAACAATGTCACAGTAAAAGAAATTCAAGCCACCCATGATCTGACTCGAACATGCAAGATGAAAAAATGGGTGATGGGTCATTTTAATTGTTAACACCGGAGTCAGATATTTAAAAATTGCTATGCCTTTCACGGTTATAAATCCAGTCTTCATATGCACACTTCACACAGCAGCGTTAATCCCATATTCTTATTCACACACGAGAGGCCTAAAACACTAGAGTGAAGCACTATCCTCTCTACATTGTACATTCTGATTGTAATAGGCCGTTTCACTCTCATATTCAGTGTCTTCATTATCTGGGCATATCATTTCTGTCTATTTCCATTACTAGAACGTGTAGACTCGTAGACTCATCCCTCTTACCGTCTTGTGTCAGTGTGAGGGTGAAGAGCCGTTTCTGCCTCTAAGGAGCTGATGTAATCACTAACGCAGCATTGCCACAAACTCACTGCCGCGCAACAAAAGCTGTCAATCAAAATCATCAAAACATCACATTTATAGAGGAAAGTTATGGGCCGTGGCTTATGTTATTTCTGTAACAATGAAGGATTTAAGTGCAAGTTGTAATGTCTCCCACATTTAAAGGGCCCATATTATGACATTCTCTGTTATCATGTTGTTTCTTCATCACAAACAGACCTGGAGCTGTGCTTTGTTTCAATCACATGTTTAACACACGGACACTGCATTGTAGGCAGTTCTTTGTTATGTCATGTGGAAGTGCTCCACTGTGTTTTTAAACTCTATACAGCTTCACTACAATCATTTGGATCATTTCAGCCCTGGAAATAACCATCTTTACTAAACAAAAGAAAAAGTAGCTCTGTTAACCTTAAAACAGCCACTTCATGACATCACAAGGTGAAACAGAGCATTTTGAACTTCGGAGATGTAGATAGACTAATAATAAAAAGGCTGTGTATGAATGTGTCAATGAAACAAACAACTCCAGGAATATTTTATAACATGGCATTATAACAAGGAGTAAAGCTGACAAGAGTCCATTGTGTGTACTGCAGGTAACCTGGTTCATGTCACATTGTTATGTGTGTGTCTCTGAACTGACTTCTTGGATACAATGCCAATCTGGAATGGTTCTCTCTGAAAGTGTTCAGAAAACACAGAACATTCTGACGACTATTTGAAGCTGACTGGTTAAGCCAAACAAGCCAGAAAAATCTAACTTTTGTTAGATCCAGTTGAGAGAAAAGCACAGGCATCTTCCCTCTCCACAAAGGCACTGACTGTTTCTCTCTACACTCTCTGTTTTTCACAAACAAAACAGTTTGTATTGATGCTAAATTAGGCTGAAGTACGCCTGTCAACATCACCATGTTTGTTTTGGTTGGTTGAAAATGAGCACTTAAAATAATACATCTAGTCTAATCCAGTGTACTTGCTATGTCCATATTAAATGACTAATTGTAGCTGTCACATATGCTCCAACTAACTATAGAACATTCTTAAAATTCAAACATTACCAGGAAATACAGCTAGTAAATGTTCAATATAACATCAACAATCCAGGACATCGGTTTCTGACGTTTGCACATCATAAAAATAATAAAACAATGAAATTAACATTCAAAATGTGTATTCAAATTATTCATAATTATTCATAATTATTATTCATAATTAAAGTGACACACGATTCTCTGACACTTCACCTTGATGCAGTTGTTCCTCTCGCTGACAGAGTCATTTCCTGTGACTGTCTGGAGGACACCATGA